CCCATCACCCAACCCACCACTATCACCACCACCCACCACTCATCACCACCACCAACCCCACCTCACTATTATCACCACCACCCAACCACCACTTCCCATCATCACCACCCAACCCACCACCATCACCACCACCCAACCACCACTATCACCACCATCCAACCCCACCACTTCTCACCACCACCCAACCTACCACCATCACCACCACCCAACCTACCACTATCACCACCACCCAACCACCACTATCACCCACCATCCACCCTACCACTATCACCACCAATCTAAACCTACCATCATCCACCACACCAACGTACCACTATCACCACCACCCAACCACCCACTATCACCACCAATCAACCTACCACCATCACCACCACCCAACCACCAATTCCCCACCACTCCCACCACCCAATGACCCCACCACCCAACCACCACTATCACCACCACCAACCCTACCACTATTACCTCACCACCCAACCTACCACTCTACACCAAATTCAACCTACAACTATCAACCACCCAACCCACCACTATATCACCAACCACCCAACCACCACTATCACCACCACAATCACCCCACCCAACCTACAACTATCACCACCACTTAACCTACCAATTATCACCAATTCCACCAATTCCACCCAACCCACCACTATCACCTCAACCTAACCTACCACTATCACCACCACCCACTACCCCACCACCCAACCACCACTATCACCACCACCCAACCACCATCACCACTCCAACCATTACCCAACCAAACTATCACCACCAACCCAACCGCCACTATCACCACCAACCTAACCTACCACTATCACCACCACCCTAACCACCATCATCACAACCACCCAACCACCACCCCCACCAATTCCCACCACCCAACGACCCCACCACCCAACCACACCACCATCACCACCACAATACCAACCTACCATCACCACCACCCAACCTACCACTATCACCACCACCCAACCCACCACTATCACCACCACCCAACCTACCACTATCACCACCACCCAACCACCACTATCACCACCACTATCACCACAACCTAACCCACTAATCACCACCACTAACCCACCACTATCACCACCACCTGCACCACCCCACCACCCAACCCACCACTATTACCACCAAATTCACCACAACCTCACCACCATCACCACCAACCCAAACCTACCACCATCACCACCACCCACCGTACCACCACTATCACCGCCACCCAACTCTACCACCATCACCAACCAACCCACCACTATCACATCACCCCACCACAACACCACAACCAAACCTACACCATCACCACCACCCAACATACCACCCCCACCACCACCCAAACCCCACCCCACCACACCCAACCACCACTCATCACCATCACCCAACCACCACTATCACCACCCACCCAACCACCACTATCACCACCAACCATCACTCTCACCACCACCCAACCTACCACCATCACCACACCCAACCTACCACTATCACCACCTCCCAACCCACCACTATCACCACCACCCAACCTACCACTATCACCACCACCCTACCACCACGATCACCACCACCCAACCTACCACTATCACCACCACCCAACCCTACCACTCATCACCACACCACCAACCTCACCACTATCACCACACCAACTAAACCCACCACTATCACCACCCACCCTACCACCACGATCACCACTCACCCAACCTACCACCATCACCACCACCCAACCTACCACCATCACCACCTCACCCTACCACCACCATCACCACCACCCACCACCACTACTCTCACCATCATCCACCCTACCGCATTATCACCACCACCCAACCCACCACCATCACCTCACCACCCAACCACTTCCACCACCACCCAACCACCACTATCACCATCACCCAACCACCACTATTACCACCAACCCAACCACCACTATCACCACCAACCATCACTCTCACCACCAACCAACCTACCACTATCACCACCACCCATCCTCACCACTATCACCACCACCCAACCTACCACTATCACCACCAATCAACCACCACTATCACCACCACTCTACCACCACGATCACCACCAATCAACCTACCACTATCACCACCACCCAACCTACCACTATCACCACCACCCAACCTACCACCATCACCACACCACCCAACCCACCACTATCACCACCACCCAACCTACCACTATCACCACCAACTCAACCACTTCCAACCACCACCAAAAACCACCACTATCACCACCACACCAACCTACCACTATCACCACCACCCATCCTACCACTATAACCACCACCCAATAGCATCACCACCACCCAACCACCACTATCACCACCATCCACCCTACCACCATCACCACCAACCAACCTACCACTATCACCACCACCCAACCTACCACTATCACCACCAATCCCCACCAATCTCACCCACCCAACCCACCAACAACCCAACCTACCACTATCACCACCACCCCCACAATTCCCCACCACCCAACCACCACTATCACCACCAACCAACCACCACTATCACCACCAACCAACCACCACTATCACCACCACCCAACCTACCACTATCACAACCAATCAACCTACCACCATCACCACCACCCAACCTACCACTATCACCACCACCCAACCCACCACCATCACCACCAACACCCCTACCACCATCACCACCACCCACCCTACCACTTACACCACCACCCAATCTCACCACTATCACCACCCACCCAACCACTATCACCACCAATCTAACCCACCACCATCACCACCACCCACCTACCACTCACATCACCAACTCACCACCACTACATCACCACCACCCAACTCTACCACTCCACATCACCACCAATCAACCCACTACCACCATCAACACCAATTCAACCCAACACCACCACCACCCAACCACCAATCACCCCACCACCATCACCACCAATCAACCTACCACTATCACCACCACCCACCCTACCACTCATCACCACACCACTCCACCCTACCACTATCACCACCACCCAACCTCTACCACTATCACCACTCACCACCACACCCAACCTACCACCATCACCACCACCCAAACCAACCACCACTATCACCACCACCAACCACCACCCACCCTACCACTATCACCACCAACTCAACCTACCACTTATCACCACCACCCACCCTACCACTATCACCACCACCCAACTACCACCATCACCACCACCCACCCCACCACTATCACCACCACCACCCACCACCATCACCACCACAACCCCTACCACTATCACCACCACCAACCCACCACCATCACCACCACCCAACCACCACCCAACCCACCACTATCACCACACCAATCTAACTCTACCACCATCACCACCAATCCACCCCACCACACCATCAATCCACCACCAAACTTCACCACCCAACCCCACCAATTATCAATCACCGCCTCCACTGTGAATACCAAACTGTGACCTGTTGCTCTGAGTTGAGTCTGAAGACGGGCAAGGGTGCTGTATTACACAAACCCACTTGTGACCACCAAATCTACCTTGTTATTATGAACAGACCACCACAACCACCTTTGTTATTATGAACAGTCCACCACAACCACCTTGTTAGTTATGAACAGTCCAATACAACCACCTTGTTATAGAACAGACCACCACAACCACCTTGTTATTATGAACAGTCCACCACAACCATCTTGTTATTATGAACAGACCACCACAACCACCTTGTTATTATGAACAGTCCACCACAACCACCTTGTTATTATGAACAGTCCACCACAACCTGTTGTTATGAACAGACCACCACAACCACCTTGTTATTATGAACAGTCCACCACAACCATCTTGTTATTATGAACAGTCAACCACAACCACCTTGTTATTATGAACAGTCAACCACAACCCCCTTTGTTATTATGAACAGACCACCACAACCACTTTGTTATTATGAACAGTCCACCACAACCACCTTGTTATTATGAACAGTCAACCACAGCCACCTTGTTATTATGAACAGTCCACCACAACCACCTGTTATTATGAACAGTCCACCACAACCATATGAACAGTCCACCACAACCACCTTGTTATTATGAACAGTCCACCACAACCACCTTGTTATTATGAACAGTCCACCACAACCACCTTGTTCCCTCGTCGCCATGACAACCGTTTGTTTGGCCGCGTGCCAACACCGACGGCTTGTGTCCTCACCCGCCTACGCTCTCCCCCTCTACCCCTCTCGGCTCTCCGTCAGTCTCTTAACCCTCTCTCTTAACCCCTCTCACCTCTCAACCCCTCTCGGCACTCCTCAGCCTCAACCTCTAACCCTTCTCATCTCAACCTCAACCCCTTTCAGCCATCTCCTCGACCACTCTTTTCACCTTAACCCTCTCACCTCTTGTTCTTAATCCCTCTCATTTCTAACCCTTAACCCCTCTCACCTTTAACCCTTAACCCTTCTTGCTCTTAATCCCTCTCACCTCTTGTTCTTAATCCCTCTCACTTCTAACCCTAACCCTCTCACCTTTAACCCTTATCCCTTCTTACTCTTAATCCCTCTCACTTTACTCTTAATTCCCCTCATCTCTTTCCACTAACCCCTCTCAGCCCCCTCTCCTTTAATTCCTCCCATCCCTTCCTTTCTATCCCCTCTCTCAATTCCTCTTATCCTCCTTTATTAATCCTCATCCATCACTCATTTCCTCTCACCCCTCTCTCAATTCCTCTCATCCCTCTCTCTCTCTCTCAATTCCTCTTATTTCTCTCAATTCCTCTCATCCCTCTTTCTCTCCGTTTCCCCTCATCCCTCTCTCTCCATCCCCCTCAGCCTTCTTTCTCTCATTTCTCTCTCATCCCTCTCAACTCTTCATATACCTTTCTCTCCATCCCCCCAACGTACTGTATGTTTACTTTTCCTCAGTACCGATAGGATTTTGTTTCTCATCCTCTCTCCTGTAGGGTTATAATCACCTTTTTCTTTTCTCTCTCTCACACTCTCTTCTTCTTCTCACCAGAATGATAAACGGATACAGGAACCAAAAGACGAAGGAGAAGAGACGAAAGTTGGAACAGAGAGTTCGTCGTCGCCGTCGTCATCATCTTCGTCCTCGTCACCACCCGCCACGGACGACCCAGCAGACACCACCACCACTATCACTACCACAACACTGAAGCCGCTACCACCAGCCACCTCCTACGTCCACATCACCGTCAATGAAGGGTGAGAAGAGAGAGAGAGAGAGAGAGAGAGAGAGAGAGAGAGTAAGAGTCAGAGAAAGTGAAGGTAAAAAGAAAGTGAGTATAAGGATCCACCTCAAGTATAAAAAGAACTATGTAGTATAAGAAATCTATAAGGAAACAGCCACTATCAGTATAAGGTTGAAAACTGACACACACACACACACACACACACACACACACACACACACACACACACACACACACACACACACACACACACACACATCTCCAATATGAAGGTTTAATATAAGAATGTCTCACCTCCATTTCACCAGTATAAAGGTGACTAATATATGTTTTCTCCCCCCTCCCTGTGGTGATGTCAGGTTCCGGGACAAGGAGCAGGCCACTAGTCTTGCCAGGGAGGCCGTGTTGATGACAGGGTTGAACACAGACTATATGGACAGGCTAAAGTAAGTATACTGTACCCCTTAATGGTCTCGGTATGAGGATATGTATTGGTAATATTATCTAATTTGTCTTGAGTATCTGTGTGCGTGAGAGAGAGAGAGAGAGAGAGAGAGAGAGAGAGAGAGAGAGAGAGCATTTTTATGTATGTATAATGTCATGTCATATTGTTTACTCATTTGTTTGGTGTCAGGGGGATCTTGGTGTCAGGGGGATCTTGGTGTCAGGGGGATCTTGGTTTCAGAGTGATCTTGGTTTCAGGGGGATCTTGGTGTCAGGGCGTGTTGGAGTCAGGTGGTGTTTGCTATGTAGTGTTGGTGTCAGGTGGTGTTTGTTATGTAATGTTGGTGTCAGGTGGTGTTTGTTATGTAGTTGTCAGGTGGTGTTTTATGTAGTGTTGGTGTGTGGTGTTTTGTTATGTAGTGTTGGTGTCGTGTGTGTTTGTTAAGTAGTGTTGGTGTCAGGTGGTGTTTGTTATGTAGTGTTGGTGTCAGGTGGTGTTTGTTATGTAGTGTTGGTGTCAGGTGGTGTTGATAGCAGATGGTGATGGTTTCAGGTGGTGTTTAATGACAGATCATGAAGGTGTCAGGTGGTGTCAATTTTACCCCGGTGGCGTGTGAGGGAGCAGGTGTTGTGAGGCGGTAATGAGCAAGAGAACTGGAACACCTTGACAAAGCCCAGGTGAACCTCCATCAGGCACCAGTTATGCTTCTTCTGTCCTGGTTCCTTGTTGAGGGACGAACAGGAGGAGGAATGGTGAGGGTGGAGGGACGGTGAGGGGTGAGAGATGGTGAGGGTGGAGGAATAGTGAGGAGTGAAAGATGGTGAGGGTGGAGGAACGGTGAAGGGGTGAGAGCTGGAGGGTGGAGGGGGGGATGAGAGATGGTGAGGGTGGAGGATGGGTGAGGGGTGAAAGATGGTGTGGGAGGAGGGGTGAGAGCTGTTGACAGAGGAGAAATGGTGAGTGGTGAGAACTGGTGAGGAAGAAGGAAGGATGAGAGATGGTGAGTAGGGGTGGTTGGTGAGGCGCTAGGTCTGGTGAGAGAGACGAGGTAGGCGGTGATGGTTGTGTCTCAAGAAGGTCACTCTCCACCTTCAGTATTCGTGTCTTACTCTCTGCTAATGCACCTTCAGGCTCCCAAGGCGGCGTTTTAAAGTCATTCCGCTTGGTTACGAATTGACTGACTGGCGGCCATTTTGAGTTTAGATAGATCCCTTGAGGTACAGTTTGCCCTGTGGTGATATAGACTAATTAAGTGAAGAGTAATCTCTGTCTGATAAGATTTGTTAAAGGTGAATCCATAAACAAATTATTGACGTTAGTTGTTACAATTAGGATACGCTTTTGCCGGCCATTTTGAATCTGATCAAAAAGGAACAACTATCAAAGTGAATCATAATTACTTAAAAGACTTTAATGATTTCCCAAACATGGAGGAAATGTGTTCACGCCTGGTTTCGACCCCGCAGTCCCAGGTGTAAGAAATGACTGCTATTTGTCAGTCGCCATGGAAAAACAACCTTAACTCTTTTCGTGAAATTTTGCCTGATTTTAGGCCATTGCCCAGCCCACATGCCCATTAATCTATTTTCAAACCGTATTTGTAGTAACGAGGAGATAGCTGTCCTCAGTTAGGGATGTAAAATATTGTAAGTTTTGACAGAAAGATGGCTGTCAGGCGGCTATTTTGGAATTCGAGTAGAGAAATCACGCTTGATGCCTCAGGGATGACGCACGTAAAAAATAGACTTTTCGTGTTGAGGAATAAAACTGGGAACGGAGTATTGACAAAAGACTGATAGAGTGAACGCCAGTGTCCAGGAATATAAGAACTTTACAAAAGGCTAAAGTAACTGAAGAGATGATGGAAAATATATATATACCCACACACGTACATACGTATATGTCTGTAAACAGTCATTTCCATTTTATTATCCCCACACATAAAGTTATCAGTTATCCCCCCACTCGTCCACACTTTTACCGTCTACTTTCCAGTTGTTATTACTGTCAGCGGAAACGATGTGACGTCACAGAGTAAATGCCATAGATAGAGGGATGATTACATTGTTCCACGTCAAAAGGGCGAACAGTAGAGTGGAACAAAGAATAAATCATAACTCCCCCACTGTTATGGTACAGTTATAGTTCCAATATAGTTCTCTGGTTCAAATCCGTTTCCAGTATGGGCTTTGATACAAAAGTCGTTCCAGTATGTGTATTGAACAATAATGTTTACTATATATTATAGTACTATAATGATAGTTGTACAGTATTAATGTGTTTTGGAACAATTACCGTTACAGTAGCGCTATGGAATAATAATAGTTATAATAAGTGCTATGAAATAAGAATTATAAAGTTCAATGGAACAAAAACGTAACATAGCAATTAATATATTTGTACTATGTTACAAAATTAGTAAGTGCTATAGAACAAAACCAAAGGGTGCGATGGAAAAACAATTGTTGTTATGGTACAAAATCAATAGGTCCTATGGTACAAAATCAATAGGTGCTATGGTACAAAATAAGTGCGATGGTACAACTAACTCCTACACGAGCCACAAGAGATTATGATAGAGGCATCGAAACACAAGTATGAATCAAGGCCTTCTGTTACACGTATTTTGTGCTCAATTGTAATAATGACGATAATAAGGATAGAATTTTGTGGGGGGCGGGGGGGAAAGGGGTGGTGGAGGAAGGGAGAGAGGAAAGATTCTGGGGGAGAGGAGAGTGGAAGAGAGAAATATGAGAAGGGAAGGAAGAAGAGGAAAGGGGAAGGGAAGGAAGGATTAAGAATTGAGAAGAAGAAGAAATGGGAGAGGAAATGGAGGAGCCATTGAAAGATAAGTAAGGGATAGGAAATAAGAGAAGAGGAAAGTTAGTGGGCGTAGGAAAGGAAGAGGAAGGGAAGGAGAGAATTATGGGACAGGAGATGGGAGAAATAGAATTTGTAGCTGAAGACGAAGGAGGAAAAGAGGAGAGCAGGTAGAGGATAGGGAGAGATGATAACCGTAGATGGGGGGGAGGAGGAGGGTGAGAGCAAAGACCAGGAAAGGAGGAGGTAGTGGAAAGAAGGAAGGAGTTGGAGGAGGGGAGACGGAAGGGTGCCATGACGACCGTGGTATCAAAACATTAAAGGAAACACCACACTTCCCTGTCCTGTGTGTGGGTGATGATGATGGTGGTGGTGGATGGTGATGGTGGGTGATGATGGTGGTGGTGATGGTGGTGATGATGGTGGTGATGATGGCGTGGTGGTGGTGGATGGTGGTATGTGGGTGATGGTGATGATGGTGGTGGTGGTGATGGTGTGGTATATGTGGTGGTGATGGTGGTGGTGATGGGTATGATGGCGGTGTGTGGTGATGATGGTGGTGGTGGATGGTGATGATGTGTGTGTGGTGATGATGGTGGTGGTGATGGTGGGTGGTGATGGTGATGACGGGTGATGGTGTGAGATGGTGGTGGTGATGGTGGTGGTGATTGTGGTGGTATGTGGTGATGATGGTGGTGGTGATGATGTGATGGTGATGATGATGGGGATGGGATGATGGTGGATGATGGGTAGATGTTGGTGGTGATGATGGTGGTGATGATGGTGGGATGAAGGTGGTAGGGATGGTGGTGATGACGGTGGTGATGGCGGTGGTGGTGATGGTGGTAATGGAAGTGATGGTGATGAAGGTAGGTGATGGTAATGATGGAGTGATGGTGTTGGTGGTGGTGGTTATGATGTGATAGTAGTGGTGGTGGTGATGGTGGCGGTGATAATGGTGGTGATGATGATAGTAGTGATGGTGGATAATTAATTGGTGATGTTAATGACGTTATTGATGATACTAGTGGTGGTGATGGTGATGTTTTTGGCGGTGAATACTGTGATAATAGTTGTGGTGGATAAAGATGATATTAGCTGTGTTGGAGATAGTGGTGGTAGTTGTGGTAGCTACTGTATGTAGTAGTATGACGGTGGTAAATGATGATAGTACACAAACACAAGTCCAGCAGTAAGTTAGGTTAGGTGAAGGTGGATGACATTAGAAGTTAGGTTTAGTTAGGTTAGCTAAGGTCAAGTTAGGTTATGTATTGTCAGGTCAGGTTAGGTTAGGTTAGGTTAGGTAAATCAGGTGGCGTTAGTTTTACATAAAAGATTTCTCTTACATAGGAAGCAATTCGAATTTTCGAACACACACACACACACACACACACACACATATATATATTATATATATATATATATATATATATATATATATATATATATATATATATATATATATATATATATATATATATATATATATAATGAGACAATACTTAGACAATGACCTCACATCTTTTCATGACAATTTAATTATATCAAACCTCAGACAGAATATACTGCACGACCTCCAAAAAATACTGAGCTAACTCGGCCGTGGATGTGTTAGAGAGGACCAGCCATGAGTACCCTGTTGACTGTGTGTGTCTCTCTGTATAATTCATATTGAAACACTCTGTTGATGGCTGAGTATTACGTGGTTTTTCGGCAAGACCTCACCCTCTCCACCTCCTTCCCACCCTCCTTCCCTCCCCTCCTTCCCACCTCCTTCCCAGCCTTCTTCCCTTCCTACGTGATGAAGCTCATCGGCAGGTTTTATTGGTCTAACACTTCGACATGTTCTCTATGGACGAGTCACTCTTCGATTAATTCCATTGGTCCCAATCCCAGCAGACAATTACCCAGTGGTCCCAGTGTCGCCAACTGAGAAGAAAGAAGTCCCAATTTTGCCAACTTAAGAGGAAAAAGTTGTCCCAGTGTCACCAACTTAGAGAAGGGTGGTCCCAGTGTTGCCAACTTAGCAGAAAAGTCGATGAACTTCACGGCCCCTTCAGGAATTTTAGGGAGATGATTTGTGTAATCTTAGCGATTTTTTTTACGGCGATATTACTGGATTTTGTTTATTCATTCGTGGTTTGACCCGAATTTGGGGGGAATTTGTGAAATATACTGTTATAAA